TTGACAAGCAGTCCGTGTGCATGCTAGACAGCACCAGTTTTTTTTGTTGTTTGTTTTTGTTTTCTTTTGCAATCAGCCTTCAAACTTTTTCAGTCTACTTTTGCTAGTCCTTGACTGCCTTTTATGCAAGGCCAGATGGCAAACCTGGCCATACTACAAACAAAACCTGTGCAAAATCAGCATCGGTATTTCTGGGTCATTTCTGATTGATCCACACAGTAAAATGAAAGCAGGACAGACAGAAGGAAATGGTGATTACCTGCTGAGGGAGTAGCTGGAGGCAGTCTGGGTGTGGGATTGCCTGGCTGCAGGTTTGTGCATGGGTGATGGACTACATACAGCAGCTTGGGTTCTTACAGTAGAGGTGTTTTTGGCTTGGAAGGTCTTGCTTCCCAGCAGGCTTAGGAGACTGGACCAAATAAGAGCTTAAAGGATGTCAGTGATCCTAAAATATGATTTAGAGACCCAGGTCACCATTGGGTCTAATGTTTTATGACCATCTAGTCAAACTGCATTTAATTAAATCAATTAAATATAACAGGCAAGGTACTTTACTCCCCCTTTGCAAAGGAGGAAATTAAAGGTTATCTTTACTTAGTTTTCACTATGCTTAGCTGCATATGCATAGACCAGTATGAAAGAACAATTACAGATGTATAAAGTCTGCTGGCCTGAAGAGCTAATTAAAATTATTGCTGAAAAGAAACACTTCAGCTGAACGAGCTCTTGCATTTTGAATAATAGATTACAAATTTATACTGTTATTCATTTGCTCTTTCTAGTGCTTTACACACACTGATTTTCAAAAGATATTTGTCTACGTGTGTGTTTTAGTGTGTGCTGCTGTATCGAAAGAAGCAAAAATGATTTGCTGAAGGTGATACAATGGGCAGATCACAGGGCTTGGGGAAGCTCCTGGACCACAACGGTCAGTGGGAATTTTGGCACACGCTTCAGCTGGGCTGTAATTTCATCCTGGACTTTTGGAGTGGATTTAGCTTTTTCCCCAGAAGTTTCACGGATATAAAGTTGGTGTTCAGTTGATCATCTGCTGCTGTTTGTAAAAGGTTTTAGATAAGCCAGAGCTCATATTACACAATAATCAGCTAATCCATATTAGGTTACTGTGATAGCTAGAATAAGTCAGGACGCGAAGATATGCTGAAGATTCTTACATCCCACTAACTGATAATTTCACCTGCAGCAGACTAGCCTTTTTCTCTGTCTTGAGGAGGAGACAATGTCTCTTTGTGGTTTGACTTTAGTCTGAGCACAGAAAAGGAGTTTAAAGAGAGGTTACACAACCCGGCGCGTGTTTTCAGATGGCCCCTCTCCCTGGCTAGGCGAGCAGCGCTGGCTGTCCTCTCGCTGTGTGTTAGAGCTATATTTATCACTCAGGAATTGTGGGCATGTGAATTTATGCTCTGACCAAAACAGCGCTTCAGTCAACATGGTTTTATGTCATGATGCACACGCTTGTTATTTTGCTATTATTTATATATATAATATTTCCTTTTCGGTCCTATAAACAAATAAATTAACAGCCTCAAAAGGAAGCACTTGACATTTAGGAGTGAGTTTTTCTCAGGGTGTCATTTTATTAGCAAAATGACTTACATTAGCAAATCAGTGGAAGAAATGGTAATGTGAACCAGCATATTCAATTTCACTTTAGCAATCTGTATTCCAGAAGGAAATCCTGGGAAGCAATCACTGACAATGGGACCTCAATTTAAATCACAAAATAGGCAGTATGCTGAATGCGTATAGAGAATGAGAGAGATTAAATGGAAGTGTTCATTTGTCTTCATAAGGTAACCAAGACAATAAAAATGTGCTCTACTATTAAGGACTGTAGAAGCTGTGGTAATGAAAACAATAATTAATATAATTTAAGTTACTATCCCTGAGGCAGTTGTAAATTGATGGTATTAATTATGCAACAAACCTGTTTGTAAATTGATGACATAGGAAGTCATGGAAGTCATCTAGAATAAGTTTCTCCTTTTGAAGCTATTCTGCAATATATTATGCAGCAGTCTATAGCCCCCAATGGATATTCAAAGGTTATTTATATTAAATTTTATAATTTATATCCTTCAAAGAGCTAAGTAACATGAAAGGATACAATTAAAAACAATCAATTATTTCATTGTCCATAAAGTTGATTATATAATATAAACCAGAATTCATTAACATTAACTTGAATAGACATCCATATGGTATTTTTCTGCGACCGTAACTCCACTGATTCAAGCAAATTACAGCAGCGGGGAATGTATGGCATTGAATACCTTCTGCTGTTACTACTGGTTGTGGAGAAAATATGATAATCTGCAAGAAGGTTTCATATATATATTCATATATATTTGAATTTTAAGGTTATTTCTCTATTATTTACCTCCACATGTCAGAGTGGCTATTAATAGATGTAATTAAATGCTGAAAGTCCAACCTGTCCATTTCTTTCAGTTCTTCAAGAATAGAAACATCAGCCAGTGAGATATAGTAAATGCGATGAGTATGTGAAAAAAGGTGCTAAAATCCTTTCTCTGCCTTAAAAAAAAAAAGACTATGTAAAGGTTCCTTCTGCTTCACATTGTCCAATTTAAATTTTAAAACGTCAGAGCATATTTACTTATTTTTTTAAAATCTGTAATTAAAAACAACCAGTTCCAAGATGTTTTTAAGCAAGAATTTTTTTCTCTTTTGTTTTTACCAGCAGAAATGTTTGCGTTTTCTGACCAGTCTTGTGATATTTGCTCATTGTGTAGGTTTCTGTGGTGCAGCCTAGATTGCCTGACCAGTTTTACCTGCTAGAAGTTCCTGTTTCCCACTTGCTATAAGTGAATCTAAGAGGAGAGCATTCCTGCACACTGCCTCACGCAGTATCTGGCAACTTAAAACTTCCTGAAATGCAGTAATTCTATTTGCTGGTTTATACTTTCTCAACTCTAGGAAAACTAAAATATACTAGGGGAATATAAAGAATGCCATGCTTTAATGGCATCTTCCACCTGAAAAAATACTCTAGCTTGCACATATTTATATGTGTTTTTCAATCTTAGTTTTACCTTGCAAGCAATTTTGATGGTTATTTCCACAATGTGTTTAGGCCAAACACAGCAAGGTCTTCTTCATGCAGTCTTTAATTTTTTCACCAGTACAGAATTAGGTGCTAGCAAGATCTCCTCATTACTAGGCAATGGTCTGGAGCCTCATAACTTGGCTTTTGTTTGTATTTCCTTGTTACAAATATGATAAAGATATGATACAGATAAAGTACTGGGAGTTTAGCAATGCTACCACATTTGATTGGAATTTTCTATAAATCGGATTGTGTGTGGGCTTGCTATTTGCACACTTTTTCTCTCTCTTCCTTTTTCTTTTATAAGGAATATTTTGTGCTCTGACACAAGAACACCCACTGATAAGAACAGCTGCTGTCAAGTGTCAGAGCATGACGAGAGGGTGAGGAAGAGGGGGAAAATATTAGTAAAGACGACTGAGGTAGCCAGAGTCACAAGCTGCATTTCCTAATTAGAGACAGAAAAAACCTTATTCTTTCAGAATTAGGGGTGGACACATGTAAATTTATTCTGGGTGTGTCTGACAGCAGAATTCTCCTAAATTGTAGAGAAAAGAGCAGCTGGCAGTGTTTGTATAAATAACCTGACTCTGTTTTGCCCAAGCCCTGGAGGAGACAGCTGTCAGTGGAAGTAACTAATATTTGCTTAGATTTTTTTTCAAAACTGGAAATCTGTGTCTATCATTTTTAATGTTCCAGCCATAAGAAGATCGAGTCATGTGAATGTATTCCATAATTCCACTCTGTTCTGTAATTGCTATTTACTTATGGATGCAAATTACAAAGAAGCATAATGAGAGCCATAGCTCTCCAATTTGTTTCACTTTAAACAAGCAAGACAAAAAAATGAGGCAAAGCAGTAGTCCTGTTTTTCTGTGTGATTCAATACAGTTCAAGGCTCTGCATGTTAGAGTTCATTGAAAACACAGTTAACTGCCGTAAGCTTTAAATCAGATGATAAAACAAGGGAAAATCTACACGTTCTATATTTTTCAATCAGAAAGAAGGGGTTTTTACATCAACTAGTAGTGGGAAAGTCAGCATGTCAGGTTCAGTGGTTTGAGATGTGGTTCCCCCTATTTATCTTGCCAAGGCCTTTGCAGTTCCTCTCCCTGATATGTGGCAAAGCAACTGAGAGTTTTATCATGGTGTGGACTTGTTTTTCTTATCCAGCATTTCCTGCGAAGGAGATAGAAGCGATGGGAGACCACTGTGACAAAATTGAACGTTTAGGTGAAATTGGCTTCTCTTAGTCTCTCTTCTCTTCATTCAGGTCCTACGTACACAATCCTAACGAGAATGCAAGGTGGGGAGGGAGAAATGAGCAGACAGACAGACAATTAGTTGGTGTTTGTGGCTGAATGGCCCAAGGAAAATGGGAGAAGATCCTTTCCTTGAATCAGAATTCATCCCAGATGTTCAGAATTAGCTGCATTTGCCTTAGAAAATGTAAACATGTTTTGCTTTCTTTTTGCAGAGCAAAGGTTTTTCCAGTTTGTTTTAAGTTGTTAAGCAGATACTCTAGGGGCTATAGTATGTCCAGATACAGAGGTATAATTACATTGTTGTTCTACTAAAGTGGAGTTAAACAGAGATAAAAACAGCCTTGAAATGAATTGAGTATGGTTTTCTGATTCTGGTGTGGAAAATGGAAAGAATAACATTATTGAACAAATTTTTTCCTGTCTCCTGTGCCACACCACTAGAATATAGGGGATGTTGATGGGTATAGTCAAGGCAGTATTGTCTGTTAAAGAAGACCTTAATATACAATGACCCGATAAAAACAATGACCAGTATAGTTAATAATAGATTTGTAAGTTACATAGATTAATTAATTAATGTTATTTCAACTCTGACAAAAATAATCTTTATTTGGATAATATAGTTGAACTAATTGTGTATTTTGTAGGTCAGTTCTCAAGAATCTGGAACCAAACCACTGACCTTCACATTCGTACCATCTGTTGGACGACTACCAACTCATTTTGAGGTTGTGGATGTCTCTAAGTTCCTTGTGACAATTCCAGAGGAACCAAAGGATCTGAGCAATCAAGAAATTATAAATAAGGTAGATCTTTGTTTGCACTAATTTTTCCACTCTTTCAAAAGATACAGAAAATTTTATCCTGAGCATCACTGAACTGAAGCTCTTTGCCTTGAACTGTTTCTTGGCTTGGGCTTGGTTTTATTTACCAAGCCTACTAGAGATGCAGAATCATTGTGCAAGAGAAGGCTGTTATCTGCTCAACGGCCTGTTTTGCCTTTGACAGAGTTTCTCTTGGAAGGAAACCCTTGCCCATCTTGATACTGTCCTCTGTCAGGCATGCAAGGCTATATTCTTGGCAGATGAGGGGGGATTCCTTCCTCATCCTCATGGGAGCAAGGGTGGTGTGCGAGGAGTGTTACCACACAGGAATTGAGCAAGAGTTGGTCACTGGATGTTGGTCACTGGTTTCAGCAAATGCCAGTGCTGTGGCTTCCAGTAAAGGTGCCAGTCCCTTTCATAGCTCCGTAGTAACGCATCAGAGTGGAAGCTTGCTTTTTGTTTTTCAAAGCTTGTCCCCATGTCCCGTGACGGTGAAGCCAGCAGCGCCACATTCCTGGTTCTCCTTCCTTTAGCCAGCCCACAGCGTTTGTTATTCCTTTCCTGCCTCACAACACTTAACGGCCTCTTATTTTATTCCATGCTGCTTGAAAGGCAACTGCAACCCTCAGGTTAATATTCATGTTTACAGTAATTCTGCTCTTGTGTAGCAGCTCCTTCCCTGGGACATTGCTGTGGCTGCGGTTCTGCGTACCCTTCCACGTAATAAACTTTTCACAGGATTTCACAGCCCTCTGACCTGAACCTGCTTTAGCATTTTCAGTGTCCTATCTGTCTAAAAAGGGTTAGGTCTGGGCAGAGAACAGATGTGTGTGAAGAGATACGCACTGGAATATTATCCTCAGGATAATTGCATTTCCAGCCACTCAGTATTGGTTTTACTGTAAGTAACGCCCTGGGTAAAGCAGAATCAGGTCTTCCTGACATCTGTCTCCCTGTGTTTCTCTGTAGGCAGAGAAAACTATCCTGGCAGGTGATGCAGTACTGAGGCCTTCATAGCACTGATTGCTCCCTTTTCTAAAAGGTCTAGAACCTGAACGATGTTTAAAAAAACCCAACCAACATCAGATAATGAAAATAACACCTCCAAAGTCATACTGGTGGTATCCCCCTTTATGGTCCAATATTTTTTTAAAGAACTGAGCTCCAGGGACTTGTGGAGCTGTAAGTGAAGTGGAAATTTGTAATTATTGTATTCCTCAAGCAGGATTCAAATATGAGCCCCATCTACAGGCTTTCTCTTGCAGTACACCATATTTCTATTCTTTTTATCTGATTCCTCCTTCAAGAGAAATATGAGTGACCATAGCAGTTTCAATATTGAATGATTTGGTGATGTGTGTGTCATATGTCCAGCTTGCGCTACTCCTGCTCTCATCCAAAGCGTGCTTCAGGAGTTACATACTGGAAGTGGAAATGGCAGAAAATATGAAGAACAATTGTGGTCTGTGCTGAGAAGCTTGAAGATACAGTAAAGCTCTCTGACCTCGGATTCTTTGTCTGCTCTCTTCAGAGAATGCCCTGGCTTAAAGGCCTTTGTTTCTTCATTAATATGTATAGGTTTTGTCCCAGATTTGTCTGTCAGGCTCCTCTGAGGAGCATTGTCTGCTCCCGTGGATCCTGCGGTCGGGACGCCTTCCCATCGTGTCTGGCGTAGTCTGGTCTGACAGCTCATTCGGCTTGACTGCACCCTCCTTTTCGGTTCCCGCGCCAGCCCCAGGCTCGGGCCGTCGTTGTGCTCAGAGTCCCCCGTTGCTCTGCGAGTTGGTGGGAAGGCAGCCCCCGCATCATCGGCTGGGGGGGCTGGAAGCAGGAGGCTCCCTGGGGAGCTGGTTGGCTTCTGCTAGGTGCTCGTGCCCAAATTCTTCATTCATCCTCTGCGCTTTTGGTAGAGCAGTGCCAGCCACTGCTGCGAGCCAAAATGACTTTGCGTTTTGGGGAACACAAGTAAAATGCAGCTAATTGGGATCTTCTTCCTTCTGTCTTTTGCAGTCTCATGCAGTCATTGATGAGCTGGTCTTAAAGAGTGGGGCCAGACAAGACCGCGTCCCCACCGTCGGTCCAGACAGCACCCGAACGGCTTTCTGGTCCCCGGGGTGTAACTCGAGCAAAGGAGAAATGCAGGAGAATGACCTTTTTAAGGCTGAGTTTATCCTGATTACGGACTCTGGTGATGAAGATGAAGTAGCCGCTGCCTCAAGCAACGTCCACCGGCCTTCCAACGGCTACGGTCCCATCAGCGCCCAGCTGCTGGCCACGTCCCACGTTTCCCCTGGCACCGGAGCAGGGAGACCTCCTGGTGACGGGCACGTTCCAGGTCCTGCGCTTTCCCACAGCGCTGCTGATCCACAGAAACAACAGGTAACCTGCTCTTTAAACTCTAGAGCTAACTTTTGCTTTCTAAAGCTTTCAGGTCATGGACACTGAGTCAGTTTGTAAAGCAGCTTGGCCAATTTATTCTTTAATTAGCATTTTTGTTGGCCATCCCTGTAATGTTTGGACTCTAAGGAGCTGTCCCAGCCCCCTCCGACGCCTTTCCCTATGGCTCTGGTAAATACATGGAGCAGGTAATGCAGATCTATTGTTCTTTCCTTTAAGAGCAGCTCATCATGACAGTAAATTAATCAGAAGGTGTTAGATTCCTAGCTAGTCTAAATTGGCTAAGGTCATTGAAATCAATGGAGCCTGTAGATCATTTGAATTATTAGCATCAGACTTCTCAGGCCTAGGGTTTTTTTCTTAGCATCGCTGCAGCCCTTTATGCTAGAGAAAGAGGCTGTAAAAAAATCCTATTATTCTGATTATTAGTTAGCACTGACTTTGCACAGGTGTAAAGAACTAATGAAGATGAAAGGTCCATTTTATGTTGATCTTTATAGGGCACATTTATTGATTTATTAAAATTTTAAATTGTCACTGGGAGAATTCAAAAAAGTGACTTTGAAATGTTTCATTTTCAAAATGCATCAATCTGATTTACTGCATGAAAAGTTAATGTCTCCCATCTTGGAAAGAGCACTGATAGTTCTCAAGGTTGTATATGCAGTGGAAAACTCTACCTTTAGCAAAATAGCAACATCCTTCTCACATGGAGTAAATTAGGACATTTCCTTTGACCTCAACAGGATTTCCATCAGCTGAAAATGCAATTCTTCATGGATAGTTTAAAAAAAAAGTTAAGTATGGCTACTTTGTCTCTGAAAATGAATAGGACTTCCTATCTTGTGTTGAAATACTTGTGCTACTCAATTTTTCATCAAATTCAGTGTCAATTTTTGATTGAGGAAATTGCGAATAAGAAATCCACTCTGGTTTGGGATTCACAGCATTATGAAATATTCATTTCTTCTGAGAAGCTCCCAGTGAAGTCAGTGAGAATTTTACCTGAGGAGGGTGTAAAGGCGTAGAAAAATCTATATAGAGGAAGCAGCTTGTGAAAGAGTAATTGTCCTAGGGAAATACAAATTTACTTCAGCAATGTTCAGTATGCAGATTCTGCCAGGATTACTTGGGTGGTTTCTTTAAAGGCTATTACAGAAGTTGGGTGGATTTTTTGTAAGACTGTACGGAAAATTCATATGCTGTAATGATGACTTGACAAGTAAACAGGGATTTGCCTGGTAAAGTAACAGAAAATACAGATTGCACAGAACAAGAAATTAAAGCCTAACTTTACTAACTGTTCAGCTGAATGTGAAGAGAGGTAGTATGTAATATGGGTAACGCATATCTCATCATTATTCTTAAGTCACAAGTTTTCAAGACAGTTAAGTACTTCCTCAGTCTTCATTATCTAAATATCTCTAGTTGTCTCTATTGCTTCATAAGAAGAGGATGTTTTTACTAGGCTACTTTTCACTGATGTTCTGATTCTTCTTTGGTGTTTCCTTAGGCATCACTCTTTCTAGCTTACTATCTAATGAAGTATCATCAGTTCAGAAATGAAGGAAAACTACAAAAAGATTAAATGCATGCATTCTTTATCTGTTGGTAGATTTCCTTTGTACAAAGGATTCCATATAGGGGCTACCTTGTCTGTTCTTGGATTATAAGTGCAGTATGACGTCCCACTTAAGAGTTATTACATATAACATTATGTTCATTTAAAAGCATAATTAGACTATGCATTTCCTGTCAGAGATAAGAAAAACAAGGACCAGCATTGGGGACCATTGGTGTACAGGGGATCGCTCTAACTGAACCAGAGGGCTCCTACAGCTTCATTCATTTCTGACTTTGTTTAAATGAAAGAAAAAAAGAAGAGCATTGAAAAAAATCGAAGCTTTTGCTCTTCTTTGAGGCATAAAGGTCCTGACTGATGTTGGAAAATGCCACACTATATTCGAAGTCTGAAAAAGATAATAAGTTAAAAAAAAAAAGATCAGTTATTCTGGTAATATTTGGAACTTTTTGGCGATAGTTTACTGTTTATATATTGTATTTGATTTTTGGTGTTTTTTTGTGGTTTTTTTTTAAATGTTGAAGAGTGTCTAGCCATGCAAGGGAGAGGCAGACTGACTCCTGCCTTTGGGAGTTTACCCTTTGGGATGAGGGGGATATCTGCTCCCCTGAATGCTAGGACGTGAACTCAGCTTGGAGAAACTTCTTGACTCACTGTGGGGATCAATAGCCAGAAGGCTTTTTTAGCTAGTCAAAGTCACTTGACACTCCTCTGTCCAGTGCATGTCATCTGGTTTGGCTTTTCCAGACAAATCAGTCAAGACTCCCTACAAACTCCTGCCATCACCAGGAAGAATACACATTCCTTGTTGGGAGGAACTGGACTGTTCTGAATGGCATCTATATTAATTGGCTCTCAGCTCACAGTCTGATTTATTGTGCTGTCTCCAGAGATTTTGTCAAGTTTTCCACAATCTCCAGCACTTCTTTCTGACTTTCTGGTTCTCAGATTTCAGACTTGTTAGGGAATTTATTTTTTCCTATCTATAACCAAATTCTACTGAGATCAAAGCATGGTTAACTGGCCCCAGGACCAGGTCTACATTGAGCCTATCTTCTCTCGGACATGATTTTTGCTTTTTGGGCTCTCAGTTTGTCACTCTTTCCTTTTCCTCTTTGACCAGCACATCTCTCAGGGCCTTGCTGGTATAAGTAACCACATTTTTTGTGCCCTTCCAAAACAGTGCGATCTCACCAGAAAGACCACTTGCCTTGTGTCCAGCTCAGCTCTGCCATTTCAAATGTGCTGAAGGTCTCCCCTGCCAGGCTCAATGCTAAGACTATGACCTCTTTGATATTTCTGGGATCATCATCTATGAGGCATAAAGATTGTTTTCAAGTTCCTTAATCCCTTTGTGCTACAGTAGCCTTGCCACCTATTTCAACTGTCTTTATACATTTTTTGGAGATGTATATCTGAGGTGCTCCTGAGAAGAGAAAAAGGCTTGCAGTTGAATCACAGACCAAAGGAACACAAATCTACTTCAGTCACTCACTTCCTCTGCACTAATCCAGTACAACTACAGAAGTGTTTTAAACCAGTAGAGAAACTGAACAGAAAAAAAGGCAAAAAAAAAAAAATTCCACTGATCGAAGGAAGTTATTATATCTCACCTGCTGGCACTGGTGAGGCTGCACCTGTAAAACCCTGCTCAGTTTGGTGGCCACTCACCCCCAAATTCAAGAGTTGTGAAGAAGGGAATGGGGGTCCTGCACAAAGCTATAAAGGTGGCTGGGGCACGTGAGCTGAGGCTGAGACCTGGCTTTGTTGACTCCCACCAAGAGGCAGCCAAGGAGGTGTCTAGGAACAGTCCACCACTACTTGAAGGGCAGTTACAGAGATGACAGAGCCAAACTCTTCTCTGCAGCGGCAGGTGAGACAGCAATGGCCACAAATTGAAGCATGGGACATCCCAGCTGGACATCTTGAGAAGCTTCCTCACTGGGAGGTGGTGGAGCACTGACACAGGCTGCCCAGAGGGTGCTGGAGCCACCTCCGTTAGGGGCTTGAGACTTGGTGAGACACAGCCACAGCTGACCTGACCCACTGGTGGTGGTGTCTCACCTGCTTTGAGTAGGAGGCTTGACTAGATGACCTCAAGAAGTCACTTCCAACCAACTTTGATTTTGATTCTCTGATCCTGTAAACAAGAGGCTGATCATCTATAGATGTAGTCAACACTGTAATACAATAGCAAAATCTTTTCAGAAGACTTGAATAATGGCTCAATTAGCTCAGCATGTAAATGTTCAGTGGTGTTCAAACTGGAAGATGACTACTGCAAAATGTCTTTATCATACTTGAAGAAGCATATTTATCGTTTGTTACTATGAACATTTTCCTAGCTGCTTATAAATCTTGCTTATTAACTTTTAACTAATTAGAAGTCATTGCACATCCTGCTCTTTCATTATGGAGTTTCACATTCATTCCTCATTTTCTTTTAATCTGTTGTCTTTGTAAGGGAAGTTTATCTATCTAATCTATTTTGAAATATAGAGATTTCATCCCCCAGTTTTGTTTTGGTAGTTGATCAACTTCCAGAACTCATTTTTAAAGTCAGGGGGCTGCTCCAATTTATCAGATGTATTACCATGCTGCTTTTGAACTTGTTAAATAATTTTATGTTTCATGACTTATTTAAAAATGATTTTTCATAATGTTTAAATATTGATAAATTATTCTCAATTTCTGATATTTTTTCTTATTCTTAATTAGCAGCTTTTCCAACAAGAGGCATCATTTCTTAATCCAATAGAATATATGGTACAATGATATCATGGATATTAATTTTTATATTCCAATATTTGCCCTGTACACATCCGTTGGCTTTCCACTTTGAAATGGGATACCTTAACACATGTATAAAATAAGGGGAAGTTAGTGTGGTTATAAAGGCATCCTGATGGTTGGTGTTTATTTCTATAAATCAAGGCATTGCCTTAGCTCTTCTGAAGATCTTATACAGAAAGTGTCTTCCGTTTACAAGCCTTGCTATTTATATGGTATCATTTCGCAGGAAGAGCTCACTTATTTTAAGTTATAAGGGCTAATAGGGTTCTGATGTGCCTGTTTAGCCCATGTTTAGCCCTTAAAAGCTGCTAAGTCTTGCTATTCAGCTTCTTCCAGCATGTACTCTCAGCTGAAAATCATTTGATTTGTTCTTATTTTTGTTTTGTGATGTATCAATACTATATGACATAATAATAATTATCATCATCATAATCATCCTCATGATTCCTCTCTCTTATAGGGAAGACATTTGTATTAAAAAATATAACACATATGCTGAGCCACAGCCATGTGCAGGTCATGTATGTAGAAACTGAATGGTATAATTGTCTTTTATAGAATTGCATAATTTTTTCAGGGTATCAAACAGTAGAGAAATAGGTGGGTT